GTCAAGTGAGGAGGCATTATTTGATCATTTGGAGAGTGTTTTGGGAACCAAACCCACCGGTGCTTCTGCAGCAAACTTTCGAAGATTGTTTTTCGAATGCCATGCAATGGCGCTGAATGATTTGCAAAGCCGATTAGAAAGGAGCGACACTTCAGAGGTCAAGATCCTGCCCCTTGCGGAGAAGGTGCAGCGCTTACAGCTCCTGAAAAAGAAGTTTCCAGGTGTGATGCTCAGCACAACTCTTGAGCCCTCACATAGCCTCATCGACAAGGTTGTGCATCAGTACGAGGAGAACTGTGTCAAGCTGGTTGAGCTTACAGCTTGCACTTCACGTGAACAGGAAATCCGATGTGACAAGAGCACTCCACAGATCACATTCGATCACTCTGGAAACATCAAGGTGACCAAGCAGAGCCAAGTCACTGAGTGTTCCATTCAAGGGGACATCCGTTTGAGATCGGCTTTCACTCGACGTTCTCTAGCCTACGAGCTGGCTAATGTGGCATCTTTTGAGGTTATGGAAGGGTGGTCACAGCTACTTTTTGACAGAGTTTGCCAAGACCCTCCTGCTGGTTACAAACACATATCAGTAGAGCAAATCATGGTGGCAGACCGCAAGTTGTGGGTAAAGGTCTCAGAAGAGACTAGATCCAATGTGACTGCAATGACCAATGGACGGAAGAACGTTGACCTGGCGATTGAGAAGTTTTCACATCACCCTGATGTTCAATTCCATATGCTGCCGTTGCCAGTCGGTCAGAGCTCCACTGCAGCTGGCAGCAACCAGAGGTTCCAACCATACCCAGCGCCAAAAGGATCACAGCCCAGCAAGGGCAAAGGTGGCTCGAAGTCTGACAGCAAAGGGGCGCCTGGGAAAGGAAAGATTCAGATTCCAGATGGATGCACCATCAAATATGGGGAAGGAAACAACAAGCCGATCTGTATGAAGTACAATCTAGGTGCATGCCGAGCAAACGTCAAGCCGGGAAAGCGTTGCATGCATGGATACCACGTTTGTTGGAAGGTCGGATGTCACAGAAGCAATCCATACCATGAATGCTCCCATGTTGGGAGTTCCTGACTTACGGATACAGCAGGCAGTCTCACAGGCCCTTCAAACTATTTTGTGGAGTTTTTCTCGGGCTCAGCAGGGCTCTCCTTCGAAGTAAGGCGAGCTGGTTTCAATGTGTTGGCAGTGGACCATGATCGAAACAGACATCGTCCCAAAGTTGCACAAGTTTCATTAGATTTGACTTCAGACGATTCCCAAGGTATCGCTCTTCAGATGCTCAAGCGAATACGACCGCTTGCAGTTCATTTGGGACTGCCCTGTGGAACATGCAGCCGCGCAAGGGAGAAACCTTTGCCAAAACATCTGCAGCAAAACCATAGCGATCCGAAGCCTCTACGGGACGCTCAAAATTTGTTGGGCTTCCCTGGACTCAGCGGGGCAGATAAAATGAAGGTTGAGCAGGCCAACAAGTTGTATGAGTTCGGAGTGCAGGTGCTGCTTTTATGTTTTGAGCTTGGAATCCTTGCGTCCGTTGAAAACCCAACGCGCTCTTGGCTTTGGGGAATTTTGACATGTTTGGCGATGCAAACTGGAAACAAAGAGTTTATACAATGGTTTGCTGCGCTCAAGAAGGTTGACTTTCATGCCTGCATGCATGGTTCAGAACGTGATAAGAAAACTCGTTTGTTGGCTTCTTTAGGTTTGTACGACTCTCTTGGTATACAGTGTGACCATACCCATGCACATAAGCCTTGGCATATACCTTCAAGAGGACAACATTTGGAGTTTGCAACAGCGCTTGAAGCCGAATACCCACGATTGCTGTGCCAACGCATGGCCCAATGCCTTGTCCATGCAGCCGAAGATGCACAAGTCAAGCTTGAAGCACAAATCACGTCGGCTCAACATGCCCGACATGCTTGGGGAACTCAAACGTCTCGTTCCAAGCCACTGTTTTGCCAATTTAAAGAGTTTGTACACCTGGAAGAAGCCACATCTTCACCCAGTCATGTGCTTTTAGCATCTCCTCTCACAGGGGGACAACAAACCGAGATGCAGCAAGAGGTCGACCAGCCAGATCGGCCAGATGCCAACCCAAAAAGAGTGCGAAAAATGTTCAAGTATGGAGTACAATGGGACCCAGCCGAGTTCCTTGAGCAGGCCAAGCAGCTAAAGCATCCCAAAGACCCACAGCTTGCGCTCCCTTTGGTCTTAAAAGAGGCGATGATCCATGTGTTGTCTAACGATCCTTTGGATGTTGCAAAACATCGTCTGCAAGTTGTGTTGGCGGTTCACCGACAAGCCCATGAGTGCAAAGAGCGCGAACGAGCCTTTAAAGAAACCATGGAACCAATGGTGAGCTCAGTCCTTGAAACTAAGAACCTGTCTTTGTGGAAACAGCTATTGGAGACCACCCAGTTTTCTGACATGGAGGTTGTGAATCTGGTAGCTGGCGGAATCCCGCTTTCTGGTTCTCACTCGAAACCACCCAACTTTCCAGACGATTGGAAACCAGCCACAGTGTCTGCGGAGGAGCTCTTAAGCTCCGCTGTCTGGAGAAGGAAAGTGCTCATGGGAGCGTCCTCAAAGACCGAGTTTGATGGAGCGCAACAGGATGATCTTCATGCTGCAACTATGAAAGAGGTGGACCTAGGTCATCTGTTTGGACCGTACTCAGAGGCTGAAATGACGGAGTTCTTTGGGACGGACAGATGGCTTTACAACCCCCGGTTCATCCTCTATCAGGAGGAAGAAAGAAAAGTCAGAGCGATTGATGACTGCAAGCGTTCTGGGTTAAATGAATCCTTTACAACAGTTTTCAAACTGGAGCTGTACGATGTGGACACACTGGCATGTCTGCTGGCGGCACTTTCGGATTCTTTGGCTAAAGGCGTTGTAGAGATGGACATGGATGATGAGTCAAGGTGCCAAGTTGCGGTCCACCCGAAGGTCATGAATGACAACTGGTTGGGCCGTACGCTTGACTTATCCCGAGCATACAAACAGCTTGCCATATCTCCTGAATCTCGATCGTCCAATGTCATTGGATACTGGTACAAGGATAGGTGGCTCTTTTTCAGAAGCAATGTATTGCCGTTTGGGGCCACAGCAGCAGTTTACAGCTTCAATAGGGTGTCAAGATCCCTTCACCACCTTCTTTGCAAGCTTCTCTGGTGCCCCTGTACTTGTTTCTACGATGATTTTCCTACAGTGAGCCCAAGCTCGTCTGCTTCGGTGCTTACGAAAGCGCTCACCGCAATCTTGAATCTTTTGGGATGGGACCATGCTCAGGTAGGCGCCAAAGCACTGGACTTCGCAGCGGACTTCAATGCTTTGGGGATCTCAGTGCAGCTCCAACAGCTGCACCGTGGAAGCTTTGTTTTGGCGAACAAAGAAGGTCGCATTGACCGGATATGTCGAATGTTGGGGCAAGTGGAACATGATGGAACAATCTCCAAGTCTCGAGCGGCAGAAGTACAAGGTCATCTTAACTTTGCTGGAGGTTTTTACACTTCCAAAGCCCTGAAGTTTTTGGTGTCTTCTTTCAGCCGCCTGGCTGACTTGCCAAAGTCTATGAGCAGCCAAGACTTGACTCTTTTGTGTCGCCTAGCCCGATCGATGCTGGGTGCCATGCCTCCCAGGAGGTACGATGCGCATTCGTTCACTGACCCTTACCTTATTTTCACAGATGGTGCTTGGGAATCCGAGCGAGCTTCAGCAGGTGCAGTGGTTTACAACCCTTGTACGTCAGAGACACGAGTCTTTGAGGTGCTCATTCCGGATGCACTTGTGGAACTTTGGATGAAAGATGTTGGTGATCAGATAATTTGCCAAATCGAGATGTTTGCGTATGTCACTGTGAGGTACAAGCTTCGCACTCAACTGCTGAACAAGGTGGGAATTTCGTGGATTGACAATGACGCAGCACGTTTTGCAATCCTGAAGGGAACCTCTGACTCCTTCAGTTTGAGGGCAATGTGCCGTGTTAACCAGCAGATCGAACTCGAGTCTCCAAGCTCGATTTGGTATGAACGAGTCTCTTCATACTCCAATCCTTTAGATGGCCCCTCGCGAAAGTTGGTCGCTCAGACCGCTGCACTTCTTGGAGCCATACCAGATGACGCGTGGGTGACTCCGCAACATGTGATCCAAGCCATAATGGATCTTCACTCCAAACCTTTGAGCCTGCTATACGCACTAACCAACGGGGGTCAACCACCTGTGCGTAGCAACTGAAACTCAAACTGGAGATCTCACCCCCGCGGTCAAAAAGGATCAGAGTGCGTTGTCCGATCATTCCAACATGTCCACCTTCTTGTTTCAGTGCAGTGATGTTGATTTCAGAAGCTTGCGAATTTTTCCAGTGAGACACCTCGACGTTTGCGTATCCACATATACGTGTATATATATATGGTTCAGTTTACGCGCATACCCGAACGATAATACAAATGCGATACTCGACGGCTACTATATAAATAACCTATATAGTATGCTACCTTAATGTCGCATCGGTGGAACTGAGTTAAGTAAGACGAAGGCTTTCATGAAATGACGCTTTTTTCTGCTTTAGCAGATAATGCTTTATCTGTAGACCGTTTTTCTTTTTGCGAAGTTGCACGATGGTGCAACTGAGCGTAGTGCGACGCTTCCACGTGCAAATGTATGCACACATTCAGTAGGGTTGACATATGCTTCTTTTGCATGTCCGTCTCGCATGTTTATTTGAGGCACGATGTTCCACGTTTGTATGGTGAAACTTTAACACCAGTTTTTGAACTTGTTCCGACAACTCTGTTTGGTTTTGTGTTTTTGTTTTTGCGTTTTGCAAAACAATCAACCAAACACCCTTGTTGTCCTTTTAAACTTGGTCCAGATTGAAGAGCCTGAATCTGTTGTGCGGATGCCATTTTTGGTATCAAGTGACATGGGGGCGTATGTGCTGCCGTAGCCATTTTGGCTCAAGTGACATGGGGGCGTATGTGCTGCCATGCGGCAACCAGGGCCTCGAGCTAAGGGCAAAGTGGCATTTAGCAGTTACATCTTGCTACCTGCTGGCAATTCTCCGGTGATTTGGCCTCATTTTCACTGGTTTTGCCCGTTCGCTTTGGGCTTTGTCACTGATTGTTGCACCATCATTTACATCCTGTTGCACCATTTCTAGTGTATGGAACAGATTCACCTTCGTACACTCACAGCGCTTCTTCAGATTTTACTTGCAGTGGTTATTGAACTGGTGCGTCGTTTTGGTTTTGTGCCGCCGGGTACCCCAGTACCTCCACAGCTGGAAACCTTGTGCACTTGTCAGTGCTCCTTTTGCGAATTACAATGTCGCAAAGAACAGGCACACAGAGGACGACACCGTTGTCTCAACCACTGGGGACAGCCGTAACTGTACCTTTTGAATTTACAGATGGGGTTTCTGAGGAGCTAGCTGTGTCAGTTACAGACTGTGACAGAGAGGTGCATAGAGAACGTTTTGGAGACGCGGCTGATGGTGCAGGTTTTTCTCATTTGGATTGCTTGTCAAGCCCTGGAATTGAAACTGGATACGATCGTTGTCAGCCAACTGAATTTGATGTTGAGTTCACTGGTGATGATGTATTTGGTGCTGAGAGTGAGAAAAACGGTGATGAGTGCGATTTGGGTATTCATGACTTGTCGGAGGCAGTCCATGATTCTAGCACTTTCTTTTCCCAGGGCGCTGAACCTGAGTTGCAGACGGACAGGCTTGGTGACGCGGTTGAACCCTCAGCGCATACTACAGCTGGTTTTGGATTGACTTGTGGACCGGAGTGGTGTGCAAAGACTCTTTCTGCAGATGAACCCAAGTTTTTCTGGGAGGTTGACCCATTCTTGAGGACGGTGTTTTGCAAGGATGATTCAGCAGGTCCTTCACTCAAGAGGCCTGAGCCTCCCATTGATCTGACTCTTGGAGGTGCTGACACAGTCTGGGACGTGTTGCGACGGCCAAAGCGTGTTGCATCAACTGGTATTTGTGCTGATGTTATTAAACATGTTGAGATCCACGATGAGAAGGACAAACGTGTGAGCATCATTTCAAACTGGACTAGCTTGGTCTGCATCAACCTTGATGCTTTTACACTCAGTGAGACGTTGTTGGCATCCAGCTCCAGGATCACTCATGCTGACGTTGAAATGAGCTTGACAGCATGTTTCTCCAGGAAAGCTACGAGCACATTGAGCAAGAGGTTCTATGCGCTGAACAAATTTGTGAATCACTGCTGCAGAAACGCATTGCAGTTTTTTCCAGTGAGGGAGCACGTGGTCTTCACATATTTGCAACACTTGGTTGAGTGCGGGAATTCAGCGCCTTCAGCAGGGCGTTCTTTGCTTGAAGCCATTCGTTTTGCTGGAGGGGTCATTGGCTTAAAGGGAGACTTGGCATCTCTGGGCAGCTCTCGAGTCGATGGACTGGCTGTCGAATTAGCCAAGCGGGCAGGCCCAATAAGGCAGGCCGAACCTCTTACTGTTCAGCAGGTGATTGCTTTGGAGCGGCTGGTGGCCTCCTCAGATGACTTGAAAGATCGCATCGTTTTTGGTGTCATGCTGGTCCTGCTGTATTCTTGTGGGCGTTTTTCAGATGGACAGCGTGCAATCAACATGATAGTGGACGCCGAGATTGCATCCCTGGACATGTCTGCATTTGGTGGACAGGGCTATCTGGAGTTGCAGGTTTTGGGACACAAGGGTGCGAGGACTGATGTGCTGCGCAGGACATTCCTGCCTTTGGTGGCACCAATTTACTCACTTGGAAGCGTGAAATGGTTTCAATCATGGTTGCAGGCGAGAGATGTCTTGGGCCTTTCAACTGGGGGAAAACTTGACAAACCTTTTCTTTGCAGGTTCAATTCAGCGGGTGAACCGTTGAACTTAGAGCTCACGTCAGCTGAGTGCAGCATGTTACTGCGAAGGGCGTTGAAACTGGATGGAGAAGAGTCTGTGACGATACGGTCACACAGCTTGAAGGTCACTGCCTTGAGTTGGTGCTGCAAGCATGGCTTGGACCTGGGCACGCGCAGACTCCTTGGTCATCACCTGGACCCAGGATCGAGATCAGCAGAGACGTATGGGCGTGACTCCATGGCTCCTGCAGTACGCTCATTTGAGACAGTTTTGGATGACATCAAGAAAGGCCTTTTTCGACCCGACGAGAGCAGATCAGGCCGCTTTGTTCGGGTTGGTGAAGCCTCAATTCCAAATGCACAACCCTCTGAGGAAGACACTGCTGAAGACACAGACAGTGACTATGAACCTAGCAGCAGCGAGTCCGATGAGAGTGAAGAATTCTTTGGGGCACCGTCTGATTCAAGCCTGCTGTGGCACCTTGTCATGCCACACCTGCGACCTGGGTTCATTGAGGTGCCTGAAGGGATTTTGGTGTACAGGAACGTCGCATCTGGAGTCCAGCACTTAAAGAAACCAGGAAGTTTGAAGTTGCTGTGCGGAAGGCGACAGTCAGACAGGTATATCTATTACGCAGGGAAACCTGTGAAAGGAGTAGCATTGTGCGATCACTGCATAGGAAGCAGAGATTTGCAGGCAACGGAAACCAGCGGTTGAGTTTTCTTCATGTTTGATTCCTTTTGCTTTGTTTTGGGTCATGAACTTTTGCATGATTTAAAATGTGAGTAGGCTGGAGTCCTTTTGATCACTTGTCATTTTCAAATGGACAGTTGACTGGTTCATGTTGCCACCACGTCAGACGTCATGCACCTGAATAGATGCTGCGACCGGACGTCGATGTGGCGTAGGCGGGGTTGCTTCACAGGTGGCAGCCTGGCGTGATTTGTGACTCAGGGCTTATGACAGATTTGATTGTTCAAGCCATATGCCTGCTTTGGCACTGCAAGATGTCATGACAAATAGCGTGATGTTTTTCTGACCGAGCTGTTTCAGTTTGCTAACAATCACTTGGTTCATGTTACCGACACGTCTGATGTCATGCGCTCAACACGAGTTGGCTGCGGCGGAGCGTCAATGGGACGTAGGCCGGACGGCTAGCATGTAAAGGCAGGTCTCATGATCACCTCGACCTTGCAAGATGTCATGACAGAGAGTGATGAGTTTTTCAATTTTTCGTGATTTCCGGTTTGCAGACAATTTTGTTGGTTCATGTTCTCAACATGTCTGATGTCAAGCACAATATGAGATGAATGCGGCGGAGCGTCAATGTGACGTAGGCCAAGCTGCCTTGTGTTGTGGCAGCTGTATGCATTTTCATGTTGATCATTACGACACAGATTTTTGCTTGAAAATTTTGCTGGCCTTGTCACCATGTTTTGCACATGCATGTGATGGACTTTTGACGTGCGTCAATGTGACGCGCGAACGGCTGTCGAGTGTGGCATGCTAGTCCTGTGCAACTTGACACGATATCTCGATGTGAGATGGAAAAGAATGAGCCAGCAGAAATTTCAGTGAGAGTTTATTTCAGTATTTCATTTCAGTGCGACGTGGGCAGATTCATCAGACGGATTGAGTGTCACGACATGTGTCTCGCCCAAAGGTTTTCATGTGAACCTCAGGGATTGAGCGATGTGAACTCACATTGAATGACCTGATGAATGTGGCTCCAGCGGGAATTTTTCCTGCACTGTCCATGTCAACTCACTGTCCATAGTGCCGAGTGATCTTTTGAATGGTTGCGTTTTTTAGGCATGATGTAGCTACCTCACGACGTAGTTGTGCAGAATGTCAGCTGTTTTCAAGGAAATTGCAGTCACAAGATTCACGAGTTTTTTTTTTGCATAGTCGCATTTGATACCGCGGTCATGGCCGGATACGCTGAGTCAAACGCCAGCTTCAAACACAGGGCAAAGCAGATTCAGTTGACGGATGACCACATCCAGGTGCTTCACGACAATGACATCAGGTGTTTCAATCACATGGCTTTCTCTGTCAATGGTCAACCTGGCCAGCTGGATGCGGAGAGGTTTCAAACCTTGGTGGACGTTGTTTGCCCTAGGGGCGCATCAATGGGCGTACAAGCCAGCCTGAAGCAGCTGGCTTATGAGTCGTTGACAGTGGCTGTGGCCGCAATCAAACAGCGAGTCGAAGCTCCTGACGAGACTTCCAAGAAGTTGCCGCCTCAGGAGAAGGACCAGAGGCTTCAATCGCTCAAGGCCAAAATCACAGGCTTTGATGTTTCAGGCGACTATGAGCCTGGACACTGTGTCATTGATGCCTTTGCAGGCATGTTGGAGGAAGGAGTTCTCAAGATTTACCCACTCAGCAAGTGCATTTCTCGAGAACAGGAGTTGCAATCGGTCAGAACGGACAAGCAGGTGATCCTCTTGGAAAATCAGCAACTCCAAATTAAACCCAAAGGAGCAGAACTGTCAGCTGATTTGGGCAATGAACTTCGTGTCCATCTTGCCTTTGTACGCAGAGGTTTGGCATTGGAAATGGCTAACCTTGCAACTTATGAGGTGCACGAGAAGGTGGTTCGTGAGTTCATGGGGCATCTCACAAGGACACCCCCTCCTGGATTCAAAGGTCCTACAATTGAGTCAATTCTTCGAGCAGACAAAGAGCTTTGGACACGAGTGGCGGACAAAGTGCGGTCCAATTTGCGCCCTGACAAAGATGACAAGCTCCCTGTGGATTTGGCGCTGATGGAGCTTTACAACTCAGCGCCTGTGGTTTTTCATTTGCTGCCTCTTCCTGGTGCTGGAGGAACATCGGCCCCAGTCAAGCGGAAGAACCCTGATGATGAGCCTTCAAAGCCAACACAGCCCAAGAAGGAGAATCCAGCTCCAAATCGCAGGGGCAAGCGCAACAGACAAGGCAAGAACAGTCTTCCAAAGGGCTTGCATGGCTACAGTGGTTGGAATAAGCAAAAGCAGAGGATTTGCTACAATTACAACATGGCGCATGGTTGCTCCAACAGTGTGACAAAGGATGGCAATGTGGACAAGTGCAATCGTGGCACACACCAGTGCATTAAGTGTCACGGTAAGCACTCATTACAGCAATGCAGCAGCAACTGAAAGCAGGAAAGCCCTGCGCGCATCAACATTGAGGATGCTCTGACATTTGCAGACGTCTTCATTGTCGAAGTTTTCTGCGGTAAGGCGGGGCTCTCACGCGCTCTCAGGCGCAAAGGTTTTCAAGTTTTTTCCGTTGATCACAAGGCAGTCAAGGGGCTTCCGATTTTGGTGATTGATCTGAATTCAGATGCACAACTTAATTTTGGAAGAGCTGCTGCAGCAACGACGATTGCTGTACGTGCATTTTGCACCACCCTGCGGCACAGCCTCTCTGGCCAGGCAGATCAGGCTTGGTTTGAAACATGAACCCAAGCCGTTGCGTAGCTTGCGGCACCCCATGGGCTTGCCAAACCTCAAATCAGTTGCGAAGGAGCGAGTGCGGTTAGCCAACAGGTTGTACCGCTTGACCAAACGCTTCATCAAACAACTGCAGCTTGCTGGGATTGGCTGGTCAGTCGAAAACCCTGCGGGCAGCCTAACGTGGGTGACTGACCCCTTTGTTGAGTTGATGCAAGAGTTCGGCAGTGGCATTTTGGGGGTGGTTTTTCACACCTGCATGTTTGGAGCGCCTAGGAAAAAGCAGACGGCTCTTTGGACTAACATCCCTGAGCTTTGTCACCTAGCCAGAGAATGCTCTGGCGACCATCAGCGGCATGCGGCCTGGGGCCTGACTCAGACCGGGTGCTTTGCCACGGCAGATGAGTGTGCGTACAACTCCGAACTCTGCGCACACTGGGCGGCAGCCATTGAACAGTTTGCACTACGCAAACAACTGTCTCCAGCACCTGAAACGCTGGGCGATGTGCAGACAGAACACCTTCAGGTCAAGGACAAAGCAAACAGAGCCTATGACTGCTTGGCACATGCCAAGCCTGGTTCGCGGTTGCCGGACAACCATGTTTTTCCTAAGGGCGCACGCCTCTTGAGTGTTTGGAATGAACAAAAGGGGGAGGCACAATGTCTTATGGCGCGTGTTGGGATTCCTGTGGAGCCTCTGGTCTATGTTGCGAAAGCTGTCACCTTGGTACACCCAGACTTGCAACGTGTCAGATTGCCGCGTAACTTGGAGGTGGCTATACAGCTTTGCGGTCCGGGGAAATCCTTGGAACTCAGAAAGGCCCGAATATCTTGGACCAAGGGTGTACTTGGTTTGATTGAGCAGTGCAGGCAGGTTGAGGCTCAGATGGTGCGTGAAAGGCCCCAACATTTGCAGACAGTTTTGCATGGCAAGCGTTTTGGTTTGCTCCATGAGTTGTTGACGGCCATAGGATACAAGGATGCTTCAGTGGCTTTGGAGGCTAGCACAGGCTTCCCTTTGGTTGGATGGATGAAATGCTCGGGTGTCTTTGCGGCGAACCTACGCCCACCCGCTTTGCATGTTTCTGCTTTTGAAGCTATGGCGGCGGCCCACTCTGCCAGAACTGTTGCTAGTGTGGGCCCAAGCCCGGACACAGAGCTGGACGAGCAAGTGTGGACAGCTACCCTTGCGGAAGTTGAGGGTGGCACGCTTGAGGGGCCTTTCGAGGTAGATAGCCTGCCCAAAGGTCATGTTGCGTCACCTCGTTTTGGCATCCGGCAGGGGTCTAAAGTCAGACCTATTGACAACCTGTCGGTGTCAGGCTTGAACAGCACTGTTGGCTTGCCTGAGCGTTTGCAGGTAGACACCATTGATGAGGTGGCGGCTATGATCAAGCGTTGCATGCAGCTTCACGGCTCACATTGCCATTTGGTGGGCAGGACTTACGATCTCAAAAAGGCGTATCGCCAGTTAGGGGTGAGCAAGGACCATTACAAATTCTCTTGGATCGCTGCTTGGTCAACAACCCACAAGCGGGTGATGCTCTTCCGCATGAAGGGGTTGCCCTTTGGCGGCACTGCCTCTGTTGCGGCATTCTTGCGTATGAGCAGAGCCTTGAAAGAGGCAGGCATGGCTGGAGCTTACTTGGTTTGGTCTTCATTCTTCGATGACTTTGTTTGCGTGACGCGTCCAGAGGATGCAGCGAGCACAGACATGGCTGTGAAATTCTTCTTCAAGTCACTTGGATGGACCCTATCCGAGGATTCAGAAAAGGACGTGGGATTCAGACCTGTTTTCTCCGCACTTGGAGTTGAGTTTGACCTGCGGGATGTTTCTCGAGGCATCTTGCGAGTCGGCAATACAGAGAAGAGGAAGTCCGAGCTCAGGACCCTGGTCGAACGGCACTTGTCAGAAGACTGCCTGTCGCCTGAAGCGTCTGAAAGCCTCAGATCGAGATTGATGTTCGCTGAAGCGCAGCTCTTTGGCCGAAGTGCTAAACTGGCGCTTCGAGCCATAGGTGGACGATCCCTTAAGGGCCAGACTTGCAGACCGCTTACAGCTGACGTAAAGTTCGGATTGACTTGGATGCTCAGGCGCATCGTTGAGTCCCCCCCACGGGAGGTGAGGTCGAAAGATCAAGGCACTCTTTTTCTTTTCGTGGATGGAGCATGGGAACCAGTTGCTGGATGTGACACCCGATCAGTGACTTCGATCGGTGCAGTCTTGCTTGACAGTGCAGGCCGTGGCATGCGCTTTTTTGGTCAGGTCTTGCCCGAATTTGCCACTGACGCTTGGTCGAATGGCCGCCGGAGGAATCTGGTTTTCGAGGCAGAGGTGTTGCCTTACTGCTTGGCCCTGACAGTTTGGGCGGACATTTTACGAAACAGACACCTGGTGATTTTCATCGACAACGATGGAGCTCGACATAGCTGGATCAGTGCGTGTGCAGAATCCAAATACGCTCAATGGATGCTTCATCGGGGCGCGCTCAAAGAGGCCTGTCTGAATACGGTCCCGTATTTCAGTCGTGTGCCGACTTCAAGCAACCTGGCGGACGGGCCATCTCGCATGTTCTTTGATCTATGTTACAAGCTTGGCGCCACCAGAACCTTGATAACTGATGAGGATCTCAGGCAATGTGCCCTTGAAGGATGCTTCTCTGGATGAATGCCTATGTGGGGTGTTAATGGCACCTTGGACATTCCCCAACCTATTTGCGGCGACGTTTGAAAAAGCGTGAGGCTGTTGAGAATCCTGAGCCATGTGCCACATGACACTGAAGTCCATTTGATTCAATTGGAAAGTTTGAGAATTGCGTTTGTCGATTTTAGTCTCCACATGTTTGATCTGGCGCGTGGTTTTATTTTGCGTGTTGTTCGCGAAAGATGGAATCCGAGATCGTTTAGCTCGTTTTGCACAGTCAGTGCATCTCATGTCAAGATGAACTTGTGAGACTGAATTTGCTTGTTTTCTCATGTCAACCTTTTATGATGCTGTGCTGTGTTTTGCGTTGCACGATTCGGGAAAGCGGTTGGAAGATAAGCTTTTTTCTGCTTTAGCAGATAATGCTTTATCTGTAGACCGTTTTTCTTTTTGCGAAGTTGCACGATGGTGCAACTGAGCGTAGTGCGACGCTTCCACGTGCAAATGTATGCACACATTCAGTAGGGTTGACATATGCTTCTTTTGCATGTCCGTCTCGCATGTTTATTTGAGGCACGATGTTCCACGTTTGTATGGTGAAACTTTAACACCAGTTTTTGAACTTGTTCCGACAACTCTGTTTGGTTTTGTGTTTTTGTTTTTGCGTTTTGCAAAACAATCAACCAAACACCCTTGTTGTCCTTTTAAACTTGGTCCAGATTGAAGAGCCTGAATCTGTTGTGCGGATGCCATTTTTGGTATCAAGTGACATGGGGGCGTATGTGCTCCCACCCTTGTCCCACCCGCACATCCTTCCATGTCTCTTTACTCTTCTTCTGGCCTAACCCTAGCCGTTTGTTAATGGCACCTTGGACATTCCCCAACCTATTTGAGGCGACGTTTGAAAAAGCGTGAGGCTGTTGAGAATCCTGAGCCATGTGCCACATGACACTGAAGTCCATTTGACTCAATTGGAAAGTTTGAGAATTGCGTTTGTCGATTTTAGTCTCCACATGTTTGATCTGGCGCGTGATTTTATTTTGCGTGTTGTTCGCGAAAGATGGAATCCGAGATCGTTTAGCTCGTTTTGCACAGTCAGTGCATCTCATGTCAAGATGAACTTGTGAGACTGAATTTGCTTGTTTTCTCATGTCAACCTTTTATGATGCTGTGCTGTGTTTTGCGTTGCACGATTTGGGAAAGCGGTTGGAAGATAAAGCCCTGTCTTTATAACTCAGCGCAATGAAATGAAGCGTAGTTCCACCGCAAAACAGTTTCACTCCGGTAACTTGGAAGTTTAAACATCTAAACTTCTCTCTGTGGTAAACCTTGCAAATACCATAAATACCGGAAACTTCAGAAACACGTTTCACTCTCAACTTGTGTTTGAAAAGAACACTTTCCCATTCTATGTTTCACTGTCGCCATTTTCTCATCTAAGGGTTGGGTAGTGGCGGGCGAAAAACTGAAATTGCAGACAACACATTCAGTTTAGCCCTCCCTACTTCGTCTCCCACCCTTTTGAATTTTGCAGTTGCTCTTCGCACTGTTGACCAATCAATACGGCCTACCCTCTGCCGTTGTCAACCACCTGTGCGTAGCAACTGAAACTCAAACTGGAGATCTCAGCGGTCAAAAAGGATCAGAATGCGTTGTCCGATCATTCCAACATGTCCACCTTCTTGTTTCAGTGCAGTGATGTTGATTTCAGAAGCTTGCGAATTTTTCCAGTGAGACACCTCGACGTTTGCGTATCCATATATACGTGTATATATATATATGGTTCAGTTTACGCGCATACCCGAACGATAATACAAATGCGATCCTCGACGGCTACTATATAAATAACCTATAAAGTATGCTACCTTAATGTCGCATCGGTGGAACTGAGTTAAGTAAGACCAAAACGTCGGGGCCTGACAAGGTTCAGAAAGAAGTTTCAGCACATGTGTATCGCACTGTATCGTTGAGTGGTGAAGACTGGCTGAAGGTTGGTTTCGACATTTGGGAAACGGACCCTTTCAATTCTAGGAGGGATTACTATGTGTTGGAACCCACTGATGACTGGTCCTCTGTCAGGAAGAGGTTTGTCACCCCCGCTGGGTTGAGCTCACTGATTAGGAAGCTGCTTGGGGACTTGTGCACACCTCGCAGGATCCCAGGTGGATGGGATGTCAACGCAACTACTCTTTTGTTGCCTGACGGGTTGGAAACACATTTTACAGGTCACAGTCCCCGCAATTTCGTGACTTCAGTTGCTGCTGCAATTGGTTTTCACAGAGATCAGAGAGCGTATTTAGGACGCTGGGCAATGGGAATGGTAGCATCGGAGGAGTACGTGAGGACTTCTCGTCAAGTTGTATTTACAATACAGAAGGCTGTGAACAGGTCTTTGGTTGTTGGGTTGGACAACGAGTATTTTGAAGATGAGGCAATTGACAGTTTGTGCAAGACAGCAGAGAACTCCGGGGCAAACCCAAACAGGATCCGGAAGAGGCATACTGTGATGGGGCGCTTGAGTGGGAAGAATTGCATTGGGGGTGTGTTCCCCACCTTGGAGGTTCAACAGGACGATTGGTTCCTGATCGGGGACGGTGAGACAGATGAGCATGCAGTTGCGATGAAGGTTCAAGAGCAGAAGGTGCGTCATGAGGCTGCCAGTGCAAAGACACACAAGTTCTTTGTCACCATTTCCAGACGTGCAGGGTTTCGTAGATTGCATCTCACTGGATGTTTTGTGAAGCCTTCTAATTGCATGGAGGTCAGGCTTCTGGATGAGGTCTCTGAAGAAGACTTCGATTCAATTTGCAGATCATGTAAGAGAAAGATGTTGTCTGATAGCGGCAAGGATGAGCAACCGGAGTCGAGCTCCACGGCTTCCTCGTCTTCAACGGTCTCAGGACAGGCACAGGACGAGAGTTGAGTTCATTTGCATGAGTGCGCATTAGGATTTGGGCTCGGCTTTGTTTCGACCCTGCATGAACGTTGTGCAATTTGCGTTCAGTCGTTGAGACGAAAACAGGGGTGGACTGGTGCCCTTGGTGGGAACCTGTTTTTCTTGTTGTTTGATTCTTGTTGTTGTTGTTGTTGTTTGTGATTTTTCTTGTTGTGCATGAGTTGCACGCGATTGCAATGACTTTCATTTTCGGTGCTTGAGTAGCACGTGATGTGATTTTGGGAAGTTGAGCTGAGTTCAATCTTGTTGCGCCACTTTTGCACTCGTGTGTGGATCCTGTTTGAGGCGATGAGGTTTCTTAGGGTTGATTGGATGGTGCAACAGTTTTGACTTATGCACTTGGCAGTTGACCTGCGGTCACATTTGTAGTCAGCTGCAACTTAGGCTCAGCTCACGTTAAGACGTCAAGCATGGACATTTGGGTTTGTTTGCCTAAGGGCTTTGAGACGGCTCAGACCATTGGGTGCCGTTGGGGTGTTCAGACACCTTTGTTTGCTTTTTCTTCCACCTCTTCCATTGTTGCAGGTCTGAGGGTGTTTCATACTGTTTGCAATCTTGACCCTAGGGGGAGTTTCAGAGAGTTCGGCATTTTGCCGGTCGCCAGCGTGGCAATGGCCGTTGATCCAGATGCTGCAGATAGGGAGTTCATTGCGCAGAACATGGACTCTGACTTACAATTTATTTTGTCAGATTCTGGAGTTTCAGTCAGACGACAGGCTGCCATAGCACGTCGTTATGGGTCATTGCGCAAGTTCAATGCGATTGGCGATGACAGGGCTCAGATTCGCACAGCTTGCCTGCATGATTTCGCAGTGGCGCAAGATACGCCAGAGAATCGGGCTGAAGTCGCAGCCATAGTTGCGGCTTGGGAGACGGCCAAGGAGTTTGTCTCGAAGGAGGTGGAGCTCAGGGCAGAAGCAAAAGTCTTGGGACAACCAAGGATCCTCCAGGCCCACAAAAGACAAGCAATGATCAGGGCGGTTGAGAGGGTGCATGGCGCCTTGGGTGAGTCAGAGACACCCAGCTCTGACTACTTGGCGCTGAAAGCCGAAGAGACGGAGCTGAACGAACCAACGGCTTCCCCTTTGGATGAAGTCATTAGCAAGAAGGACACTTCAAGCTCTCAAATCCAGTCCTCATTGGATTCCTCTGGGCACTTGCGTGTGGTGAGGACAAAGAACAAGTCGCGGATGCCCACGACTACAGAGGAGTACCGCAAGGTCATGAAGGTTGAGATGTATTCCTGGCTTTGCATGTCTGCCAGGTATCGTGCAAAAAACTGGTTGCATGACTTGGAGGCTGCGGACTTCAACAAGTTTGTTGGCTACATCCTCGGTGAACGTGTGATGGGGATACAAGTGCCATCGCTTCATGGTGATGGGACACAGCAGAAGGTCAAGCCAGATTGGGCCATTGTGTTGTCATATGAACACAAGTTGAGGAAAGAAGCATTCCGTCTGGTTACAAATGAGGGCCTCACGCTTTCCCAGGCCTTGAGAGCAGTGATCCGAGACGCTGATTTGAAGGAATCCTTTTTCACAACACCAGTGGCATTGCGTGCGGCTTCTTCCATCGACCCCCCGGCAAACAAGTGGCCGAGGTTCAACAACAAAGGGAGCTTTGGGGGCAAATCCTTTCAGCAGGGATTCAAAGGCAAGGGCAAAGGCAAAGGTGGCAAATCAAAGGGTAGAGACAGCAGGTTGGATGGATTACAGTTGGCCTGGCGCACGCCAGACGGGCGTGACCTTTGCTTTGCATACAATGGTGGCAGCTGTGATGGAAAATGCAACAGGGTCCATCAGTGCAGAGTAAAAGGTTGCTATGGTGACCACCCAGCAATCCAGCACAAGGACAAGGCCCGTTCCTCCACTTGACGGGGTGGGTGTGCTCACCAACCCGGCATGGAGGCACACCCTCATGACACCTCTCCACCTAAGGTGAAGGTGATGTATCTATTTGCCGGAAAAAGACGGCAGTCAGATGTGGCTTCTTTCTTGCAAAAGGCACACGATAGTGGCCACATTTCCTTGACTCTGAAGGAGTATGACTTGGAGCTTTCACCAGACCATGATTTGACCAATAAGTCCTTATGGGATGAAATTCTGGCAACCCTTGAAGAGGGTGATTGGTATTTGCTTGTCTCGCCTCCGTGCAACACATTTTCGAGGGCGAGGTTTCACTTTCAAGACTGGCCGGGACCGAGGCCGCTGAGAAATGTTGTCTGGCCCAAAGGGTTCCCATGGCTTTCACAACATCATAAGCAGGTTGTTGACGAAGCAAATTGGTTTGTGGAGCAATGCATTTTGGCTTGCAAGGTTTGTCACCGTGCGGGGGGGAGATTTATAATTGAACATCCCGAGGATTTGGGGCTTGTACGTGAAGAACGTCCTGGGTCTATCTGGCAGTGGGACGAAATTTTGGATTTGATACCAACTTGTGGTGCTACCACATTTGCAATTCAGCAATGCAAGTTTGGGGCCATTACGCCCAAACCTACACGTTTTCTGGGGACATTTCTGATCGATGACAACAGATGTTTCTTAGGTTTGCCAAAGTTTGATTCCTTGGGCGCGTACAAAGGGCCGCTGCCCAAATCCTGTGGTCACAAACATCAACACAAACTTTTGGGAAAGACTCAGAACAAATGGAATACAAGTGGCAGTGCTGCTTATCCACCTGGTTTATGCGAATTTTTAGCTTCTCTTGTTCTTCATGCTGCCGCATCCTCCGGAAGGGGGAAGAAGAACCACGGCACTGGGCTACAGAGCAGTGCTCAAGATGCCCTGCTTGCAAAAGGCACCAAGGCTGTTGAAAGAGACTCCAATGCCGAGCCTTTCAAACCACCATGCCATGTAGTGGACTTGACAGTGGATGATACAACGGCAGGGCAACCGTCCAGTGGGGCGTCAGGCAAGGATGGGGGCGAGCAGACTCCCGATGTGTTCAATTTGGGACAGGATGAAACAGCTGGCACAGGCAACTTTCGAGTTTTTGAAACAGGGTGTGATGGAGTCCATCAGCGATGTGAGAAGGGAGGCGTTCAAGTTGGTGACAGGCAAGTTGCTTGTATCACCGTTTTCTGAATCTTGCTTGATGAAGGTGAGAGAGAAGGTGGCTGGTTTGTTACCCGATTGCAAGGGTGCATTGGTGCGGGATCAGGGGCAGCCTTTTTTCCTGCGGTTGCTTTCACAGTGGTTGGAAATTTTTGACGATCCTGACTTCAGTTGCTTGGTAAACGATGCGGAATCTTTTGCAACTGGCGTCAACCTTGGCGTGGACACTCCCCTACCGAGGACACCTCAAGTTTTTCCCGAGAAGGTCAAGCATCGCAAACTTGACACGACTGATTTCAATCCCATTGCCGAGAATTATGCTTCTGCTCAAATTTCCAGCGATGAGTTGGTTCAGAATTTTCGAGAAGAGGAATCCTAGGGTAGAATGTTTCCATCCAAGCTTGGTGTTTTGAAGGAGAAGTATGGTGACAGGTTGAGGGTCGCTTCAATGGCGGCCATAGCAAAGCCAGACGGTGGAGTGAGACCGCTCCACGATGCCACGCATTCTGTGATGGTCAACCGCTCCATTAAGTACCAGGACCAGTTGCAGTGCCCAGGACCGGCAGAGGTCGCATCTGTTGTGAGGGAGGCAGTGGAGACAAAGGAAGCATGTTTTTGCGTGTCGGCCGACATCAAGGCTGCCCATCGTTTGGTGAAAGTTAGAGAGGAGGACTGGCCATACATGTGCTGCAGAGCAGATTCACAAAGCGACACTGTTTGGGTGAACAAAACAGGAACTTTTGGCGTGGCGAGTGCGCCATATTGGTGGGCCAAACTTTTTGCATGTGTTGGCAGGTTTGTTGGACATGTGATGCAGGCATCAATTTTCTGGCACCTTGTTTATGTGGATGATTTGCATGGGGCATTCGCGGGGGCTCAAAAGTTTGAAATGTTATGGATCTGGCTCCTAGCGTTCGAACTTGTGGGGACGCCATTTGGATATCATAAGTTCAGGGGCGGCTTTGCTTCAGAGTTTGTTGGATACCACTTGCGCTACGATAGGAACGAAGTTGGCATTACAACCCGAAGGGGATCTTGGTTAGTGGATTGGATCCAGAGTCTGGAGAAAAGGAAGTTTGTTGTGGCTGCACGTGATTTCAGCGAATTTTTGGGAAGGCTGGGGTTTGTATCCCAGCTATTGGTTTGGCTGAAGCCCCACCTTGCACCCCTCTTTGCATGGAGTGCAGTGGCATCTTCTGGACTGGTAGGCAAGTTGCCGGATACGGTCATTTTGACTTTGAAGTACATACAAATAGAGCTGTCGAACGAGTCGTTTATGGTTTCTGCACAGAGGCCCAAAGTGTTTGCGGAGGAGCAATTCAGGACGGATGCCAAATGCACTGACACCAGTATGGTATTGGGAGGATGGGAGATTTCAACGCGCAGATGGTTTTCAATTTCCCTTTCAAGGGAGCAAGTGCCGTTCCTGTTTAAGCCGGACGGCGGTGGGGCACAGTGGGCGTCTACGTCCGCTGAGCTGTTGGCGTCATTGGCGGCCCTGAGGGCGTTTGGATGGCTTGATGGTGGTAGGACAAGGCGTACGATGCAGTTCTCCATTTTTGCTGGCACGGACAACAGGGCTAATGACCTGTTGTCCAACAAACGCTCGACCACGAAGTGGCCCCTGATGTTGGTCAACATGGAGTTATCGTCGTGTTTAGCCAAGTCGAGGCTTACACTTGATTTGAGGTGGAGACCTCGCGAAGAAAATCAAGAAGCTGACGAGTTGACAAACGAGATCTTCACGAGCTTCTCCATGGATGATCGTGTCCCCCTCAGCCTAACGGATTTAGACCTGGGCTTGGTGAATAGTTTGTGGCAGACGAAGGTACAATTTGATTTGATGAGAGAGGAAGCCAAGCAGCATGCAGCAGAGGGTCCTCAAGGGAAGAAGAGAAAGCACGATAAAACGCCTTGGTGACTTCGTTTGCAACCTGTCTCTGTCGAATGGGGGACTTCAGACGTTTGCTGCACTTGTCCCCTTTCTTTGTGGCAACAACTTCATAGATTCTGGCTGCTGGAGAGTTCCGGCGTGGATATCACAGAGACATTGGATGATCGCTGGATCTCACCACCGCTTTGGAAAAAGGGAGAGTGTTCCGTTTGCTGGCAATTCAACCACGTGAGATTCAGTCGTCATTTCAACTCAGATTTTTTTCATGTGATTCAGTGATGTCGTTTCAGTGGCGTTTTGCTGGTGGCAGTTTTTCATTTCCTCCCCGCGTTTTCTTTAGTTAAACATTGTTGTTTCAACTTCATCTTCAAGCGAGTCCTGCGTCCCTACCTTCTCAACACACAGCATAGTGTAGGCTTCATAGGGCGCGCCCGTGAGTCTATACGGTGCTGTGTGTTGGGCGGGTGGGTGGGTTGACGCTTGGTGACCTTTACGTGCGATCGTGGGGACTGGATTGGAGACCGCTTTGGTCGATGGTACAGTTGGGGGACATTCACTTGCTGGCCGTTTTCATGAGTCAAATTTGTCAACAGTTTGAAACAGTGCAACTTTGGAAGTTTGCAGTTTGCTTGGGTTACTTCAACAGATGCTTTTTGGTGACTGGAAGTTATTTTTGGTGGACTTCGTCTTTTAACCTGTGTTCAACTGATGTGGGTCGTTACTGTTCTGGATGTTTGGTTTCAGATGTGAATTCACAATGGTTTCAACTCAACTTCTTGCGAAAGAGTTTCCTTCAATTGCTGTGTTCATACAGTCGGCAATACATGGATGTGACTCGAAGAGCTATGGCTCATTTTCAGGTACCCGCCCTACCCAACCCTTTGTGGTGGGAGGGTGATACCAGCGACTTGCGTGGGGGGACTTCAGACGTTTGCTGCACTTGTCCCCTTTCTTTGTGGCAACAACTTCATAGATTCTGGCTGCTGGAGAGTTCCGGCGTGGATATCACAGAGACATTGGATGATCGCTGGATCTCACCACCGCTTTGGAAAAAGGGAGAGTGTTCCGTTTGCTGGCAATTCAACCACGTGAGATTCAGTCGTCATTTCAACTCAGTTTTTTTCATGTGATTCAGTGATGTCGTTTCAGTGGCGTTTTGCTGGTGGCAGTTTTTCATTTCCTCCCCGCGTTTTCTTTGGTTAAACATTGTTGTTTCAACTTCATCTTCAAGCGAGTCCTGCGTCCCTACCTTCTCAACACACAGCATAGTGTAGAAGGTGCATGTTAAAATGATATGAAAACATTTTCTTTACAACTTTATGGTTTTGCTTAATGGACCGGTAAAGAACGCTTTGTTTTGCTTAATGGACCACCGGTACCGGAATGTTTCCGTTTGGTTCATGGCAAGGAACTGCCGGTTCCCAAAGGTTGGAACTCACTGTTGCCAACGTGGGAACCAAAGGTTACCATGGCAAGGAACTGCCGGTTCCCAGACCTTGAAACTTAGGGTTCCCAACCTGGGAACCAGAGGTTACCATTGCAAGGAATTGCCGGTTCCCAGAAGTTAGAATTTATGTTTTCGAAGCTAAGCGGCTATCATTGTAAGGAACTGCGGGTTCCCAAAGCTTGAAACTCATGGTTCCAAGCCTGAAAAAGTAACGTTACCAGTGGAAGGATCTGTTGAACAGCAAAAAGTTAGAACTCATGGTTCTTAATGTTGTTTTGTTTTGTTTACTAAGCCGGTAACAGAACCTTTTGTTTTGCTTAATGGACCGGTAGCGGAATGTTTGCGTTTGGCTGTTGGGCCGGCATAAAAATGTTTTTGCACGAAAAAGGCGCATGTTAAAATGATATGAAAACAGTTTCTTTAAATTTTATGGTTTTGCCTAATGGACCGGTACAGAACGCTTTGTTTTGCTTAATGGACCGGTACCGGAATGTTTGCGTTTGGTTCATGGCAAGGAACTGCCGGTTCCCAAAGGTTGGAACTCACGGTTGCCAACGTGGGAACCACAGGTTACCATTGCAAGGAACTGCCGGTTCCCAGAGGTTGGAACTCATGGTTCCCAACCTGGGAACCAGAGGTTACCATTGCAAGCAACTGCCGGTTCCCAGAGGTTGGAACTCATGCTTCCCAACCTGGGAACCATAGGTTACCATTGCAAAGAACTTCCAATTCCTAAAGGTTGGAACTGATTTTTCCATTTTTCCCAACGTGGGAACCAAAGTTACCATGGAAAGGCACTGCCGGTTCCCAGACCTTGAAACTTTGGGTTCCCAACCTGGGAACCAGAGGTTACCATTGCAAGGAATTGCCTGTTCCCAGAAGTTAGGATTTATGTTTTTGAAGCTAAGCGGCTATCATTGTAAGGAACTGCGGGTTCCCACAGCTTGAACCTCATGGTTCCAAGCCTGACAAAGTAACGTTGCCAGTGGAAGGATCTGTTGATTGCAAAAAGTTAGAACTCATGGTTCTTAATGTTGTTTTGTTTTGTTTACTGAGCCGGTAACAGAACCTTTTGTTTTGCTTAATGGACGGTAGCGGAATGTTTGCGTTTGGCTGTTGGGCCGGCATAAAAATGTTTTTGCACGAAAAAGGTGCACGTCAAAATGATATGAAAACATTTTCTTTACAATTGTATGTTTTTGCTTAATGGACCGGTACAGAACGCTTTGTTTTGCTTAATGCACCGGTACCGGAATGTTTGCGTTTGGTTCATGGCAAGGAACTGCCGGTTCCCAAAGGTTGGAACTCACGGTTGCCAACGTGGGAACCACAGGTTACCATTGCAAGGAACGGCCGGTTCCCACAGGTTAGAAGTCATGGTTCCCAACCTGGGAACCAGAGGTTACCATTGCAAGCAACTGCCGGTTCCCAGAGGTTGGAACTCATGCTTCCCAACCTGGGAACCGTAGGTTACCACTGCAAAGAACTTCCAATTCCTAAAGGTTGGAACTCACTGTTGCCAACGTGGGAACCAAAGGTTACCATCCCAGACCTTGAAACTTACGGTTCCGAACCTGGGAACCAGAGGTTACCATTGCAAGGAATTGCCGGTTCCCAGAAGTTAGGATTTATGTTTTCGAAGCTAAGCGGCTATCATTGTAAGGAACTGCGGGTTCCCAAAGCTTGAAACTCATGGTTCCAAGCCTGAAAAAGTAACGTTACCAGTGGAAGGATCTGTTGATTGCAAAAAGTTAGAACTCATGGTTCTTAATGTTGTTTTGTTTTGTTTACTGAGCCGGTAACAGAACCTTTTGTTTTGCTTAATGGACCGGTAGCGGAATGTTTGCGTTTGGCTGTTGGGCCGGCATAAAAATGTTTTTGCACGAAAAAGTGCACGTCAAAATGATATGAAAACATTTTCTTTACAATTTTATGGTTTTGCTTAATGGACCGGTACAGAACGCTTTGTTTTGCTTAATGGACCGGTACCGGAATGTTTGCGTTTGGTTCATGGCAAGGAACTGCCGGTTCCCAAAGGTTGGAACTCACGGTTGCCAACGTGGGAACCACAGGTTACCATTGCAAGGAACGGCCGGTTCCCAGAGGTTTGGACTCCTGGTTCCCAACCTGGGAACCATGGGTTACCTTTGCAAGCAACTGCCGGTTCCCAGGGGTTGGAACTCGTGCTTCCCAACTTGGGAACCATAGGTTACCATTGCAAAGAACTTCCGGTTCCTAAAGATTGGAACTGATGGTTCCCAACGTGGGAACCAAAGGTTACCATGGCAAGGAACTGCCGGTTCCCAGACCTTGAAACTTGGGGTTCCCAACCTGGGAACCAGAGGTTACCATTGCAAGGAATTTCCGGTTCCCAGAAGTTAGAATTTATGTTTTCGAAGCTAAGCAACTATCACTATCATTGTATAAGGAACTGCCGGTTGCGAACGTTGGAAACTCATGGTTCCAAACCTGAAAAAGCATACGTTACCAGTGGAAGGATCTGTTGATTCCAAAAAGTTAGAACTCATGGTTCTTAATGTTGTTTTGTTTTGTTTACTGAGCCGGTAACAGAACCTTTTGTTTTGCCTAATGGACCGGTAGCGCAAAGTTTGTGTTCGGCTGCTGGGCCGGCATAAACATGTTTTTGCACGAAAAAGTGCATGTTAAAATGATATGAAAACATTTTCTTTACAATTTTATGGTTTTGCTTAATGGACCGGTCAAGAACGCTTTGTTTTGCTTAATGGACCGGTACCGGAATGTTTGCGTTTGGTTCATGGCAAGGAGCTGCCGGTTCCCAAAGGTTGGAACTCACGGTTGCCAACGTGGGAACCACAGGTTACCATTGCAAGGAACTGCCGGTTCCCAGAGGTTGGAACGCATGGTTCCCAACCTGGGAACCAGAGACTACCATTGCAAGCAACTGCCGCTTCCCACCTGGGAACCACAGGTTACCATTGCAAAGATTTTCCAGTTCCTAAAGATTGGAACTGATGGTTCCCAACGTGGGAACCAAAGGTTACCATGGCAAGGAACTGCCGGTTCCCAGACCTTGAAACTTAGGGTTCCCAACCTGGGAACCAGAGGTTACCATTGCAAGGAATTGCCGGTTCCCAGAAGTTAGAATTTATGTTTTCGAAGCTAAGCAACTACCACTATCATTGTGTATAAGGAACTGCGGGTTCCCAAAGCTTGAAACTCATGGTTCCAAGCCTGAAAAAGTAAACGTTACCAGTGGAAGGATCTGTTGATTGCAAAAAGTTAGAACTCATGGTTCTTAATGTTGTTTTGTTTTGTTTACTGAGCCCCCAGGTTGGGAACCCTAAGTTTCAAGGTCTGGGAACCAGCAGTTCCTTGCCATGGTAACCTTTGGTTCCCACGTTGGGAACCATGAGTTCCAACCTTTAGGAACCGGAAGTTCTTTGCAATGGTAGCCTATGGTTCCCAGGGTGGGAAGCATGAGTTCCAACCTCTGGTAGGTTGGGAACCAGGAGTTCCAACCTCTGGGAACCGGCAGTTCCTTGCAATGGTAACCTGTGGTTCCCGCGTTGGCAACCGTGAGTTCCAACCTTTGGAAACCGGCAGTTCCTTGCCATGAACCAAACGCAAACATTCCGGTACCGGTCCATTAAACAAAACAAAGCGTTCTGTACCGGTCCAATAAGCAAAACCATAAAGTTGTAAAGAAGCTGTTTTCATATCATTACCAACCAGAGGTTACCATTGCAAGGAATTGCCGTTTCCCAGAAGTTAGAATTTATGTTTTCGAAGCTAAGCAACTATCATTGTAAGGAACTGCGGATTCCCAAAGTTTGGAACTCATGGTTCCAAACCTGAAAAAGCATACGTTACCAGTGGAAGGATCTGTTGATTCCAAAAAGTTAAAACTCATGGTTCTTAATGTTGTTTTGTTTCGTTTACTGAGCCGGTAACAGAACCTTGTGTTTTGCCTAATGGACCGGTAGCGCAAAGTTTGTGTTCGGCTGCTGGGCCGGCATAAACATGTTTTTGCACGAAAAAGTGCATGTTAAAATGATATGAAAACATTTTCTTTACAATTTTATGGTTTTGCTTAATGGACCGGTAAAGAACGCTTTATTTTGCTCAATGGACCGGTACCAGAATGTTTGCGTTTGGTTCATGGCAAGGAACTGCCGGGTCCCAAAGGTTGGAACTCACTGTTAGCAAGGTGGGAACCACAGGTTACCATTGCAAGGAACTGCCGGTTTCCACAGGTTAGAAGTCATGGTTCCCAACCTGGGAACCAGAGGTTACCATTGCAAGCAACTGCCGGTTCCCAGAGGTTGGAACTC